TTACGTTTGTAATAGGTAGAACGGTAACATTTTCCTTCTAGTCAGGGCTTATTGAAAGGTTTTAAAAAATGAATGATACATCTTTTTTTTCCCCCAAGTGAATTTTTATTGTTTTCCTTACATATTCTTTTCCAACAAATTGTAATAGCACCATACATTCCCTTTGACTCTGCCGAGTCGCGACCCCCCTCCCTCTCCACAACTGGTATATTTATCCTCTTTCCATCATGCACATCATTCTCATATTAGTACTATTATACAGTGGAGGTATTATGTCAATCCTGCTAGTGTCTTGACCTCTTTACAATTCTTCTTTAAATATTCAATAAATTTACTCCAGTTATTTTGGTATCTTTGATCTCCCTGGTCCCGGATCTCCCTGACACTTTGGCAAGTTCTGCATATTCTGTCAACTTTGCCTGCCACTCCTGAATAGTTGGTATGTCTTGTACTTTCCATCTTTGGGCCAGAAGGGTCCTTTTGGGGAAAGTATATTCCAAATATTTTTTTGAGTTCATTATAAATTGATTCCCAAATTTTTTTTACCTTATCACAGGTCCACCACATATGGAAATAGTCCCCATCTGCCTTTTTACATTTCCAACATTTTCTTTCTTTTTTCCTATACATTTTAGCTAATTTTACTGGTGTCAAATGCCATCTATACATCATTTTTAGCAAGTTTTCCTTTAAAGTCATGCATCCTGTAAATCTCAAACCCTCCTTCCATAATCTTTTCCACGCATCCAATTCAATGTTATGCCCAATATCAGTTGCCCATTTTATCATTGATTCCTTTACTTCTTCGTCTTTTGTATACCATTCTAGCAATAAACTATACATTCTTGATAAAATTTTATCTTTACAGTCTATTAACTCGATTTGTAATTTCGATTTTTTTCTCTTCGAACCCATTTCTCTTTTATCTTCCTTTAATAAGTCACTGATCTGGTGGTATTGCAGCCACCCTGTTAACATCTTTTCAATTTGGTCATATGGTTTGAGCTTTATCCCTTGGTCTGTTTTCCTAGTAATATCCTCATATGTTACTCTTTCCCCTTCCATGTTTACTTTTTTTGTTGTCAACACCTCAATTGGTGATATCCACCACGGTGTCTTTCTTTCCAGGAGGTTTTTATTCCGATCCCATACTTCATATAAAGATTTCCTAATCACATGGTTTAGAAAACCTTTATGTACCTTTACTTTGTTGTACCATAGGTACGAATGCCAACCGTATCTATTGTCGTGGCCCTCTAGATCTAATAGGTCAGTGTTTTCTAAAGTCAGCCAATCTTTTAACCATACCAAGCACGAAGCTTCATAATATAAAGTCAGGTCTGGTAAATCAAAACCTCCTCTCTCTTTCTTATCTATTAGTATCTTCATTTTTATCCTTGGCCTTTTCCCCTGCCAGACAAATTTTGCTAAAATTTTTTGCCAATCCTTAAATTGTCTTATCCCTTTTACCACTGGTATTGCTTGAAATAGAAATAACAGTCTAGGTAGTATATTCATTTTTATCACAGAGATTCTGCCTAATAATGACAATTTTAGTCTGCTCCATATATCCATATCTTTCTTAATTTCTTTCCATACCACCTCATAGTTGTCCTTGTACAGGTTTATATTTAAAAAATGAATGATACATCTAACCACCATTATTTTCATTACAACCCTTGGCTTATGATACTGTTGGCTCTTATGCCGTGAAGTCGTTCTGCCTCACTTGGCCCAGTGTAGTTCTCTTTCGCACATACTTGGCATCAAAAAGTCAATAGAAATCTCTTGCTCAGATTTGTGTAGGTTTTGTATGTGCAACCTTCTGCTCGTATCAGGGCTACAGCATATCCTTGTGACATATGGATATGCTACCCCCGGTTTCCTCTCAGTCTGCTCTCTCCCCTCTCCCCTTCTGAAGACCCTTTCATGACACAGTTGCTCTGCTTCTGAACATGAGTATACAAGTTCTATTGGCTATTGTAAATCAGGGATTCAGGCTTATATCATTGCACTGGTACAAGGTGATAAGGTGAACACAGAATGGGGTTGTTGGGCTCAATCCATTAAAAAGGTTGCAAATTAACAATGTGGTCCGAATTGATTTTATTATTATTATTATTATTATTATTATTATTGTTATTATTAAAAAGCTGATTATTGTCTGTCTTCTAATGCTGTCACAATCCATTTGTTAGAAGCAACAGCATAGGACTGCAGTAGGCTGGGCCTTTCTGGTAATAGAAATGTGGAAGTCAGCAATAAAACACAATTGTCATGTTAAAAATTAGGGTGGGGCCGTGCAGTGAAATTTTGCAACATAATATTACAGTTTAGCAGTTCCCTGTATTCCATGCCATCTGATAAATGGGAACTTAATTATTTTTATTTTTAAAAAGTTGCTTTGGTGCCATTTGTACCCTTTGCAGGTGGTTTGGAATAAAAGAAATGAGGTTATATGACTACAATTTGGCAGACAGCTTTTCTGGCTCTTCTCACAAGAAGAGGAAAAAGAGGCGGCGGGGGGGGAGGGGGCTCAACACTCTTCCATGCTTTGGAGTGATCCCTTTGGAGAGATGTGCTAATTTCAGATAGAACAGAAAGATCTAAATTGATTTTCATTTAGGGGTGGATTGATCAGTCTATATCTGGTCCATGCCAACTTCACAGATCATTCATTCATGTTAATTCTGTTCTGTCTCAATTCCACATTAATTCGCATTGTTTTAAAAAACCTGAAAATTCATATTCAAATACTGATATTTTCTGGTACAATATATATTTAAACATGTATAAAATATCTTTTCAAATATGTACATTTATAAACATTTTATTCTAAAATGTGAATTTCAACACACTGTGGTTCCTTTCCTTCTACATCTGTATCATAAAATGTTGGAGAAGTGCAAATAGAACAGATACTTATGTTCTGATCAGCACATTAGTTCTGGAGATGCAGGGCAAGCCAGTTCACACTGTAATACACAAAAATCAGTTTTCTCAAACATGCCGTATTTACTGCTTCATATAAGTTCAGGTATGAAATGCCAGAGAGGGAATGGGTGCAAGAACCTCTCTTGCTCTGGAATCTGTTTTGCCAAGTGTCTTCCATTGCAACAATTTCCAGAAAGGTAGCTTTGTTAGTCTGTTGCAGCAAAAGCGACAGTCTCATGACTACCACATTTGTTAGTTTGGGGGCTGTAGCCCCGAGAGCATGTGCCATAACCAATTTGTTAGTCTTTGAGGTTCCACAGAACTGTTTGTCACATTACTGCGGATATTCTCAGCATTTTGATTATTCAACAATGCCTTTGCCTTCTGCTAGTCTAAATGCAAACTGGGCACAATCCCACAGAGCGGTCTGCTGCGCCATAGAAACAAATGGAAAAACTTATGCAAATACATGTGTCCTGTTCATCTCAGTGCAGTCTGACTAGCGGAAGTTTCCATGGTTTAGTTTTGCCAGTTCCTCGTGATTTTTAACATCAAGTAATCTCAAATCCTTTATATTATATTTGTGTGTGAGTGAATAGACATTCAGTTTTCATTTTTTAGGGCTTGCTAGTTTGGTTCATTATTTGGCTATTATCAGCCCCACCTTCTTTCAGTTATCCTCTGTTTTCTGTATGCCTCCTTCTCTTCCCCACTTGTACCTATTCCATCTGTTGCAATTTTTTGATCTCAGGATGAAGGAGCATCAATTACTCTGATTTCTAAGTGCCTCCAGTTCTTGACATGGAGGTGGTTAAGGTTTGAGTGGTATGACTGACATGTGCTAAATAAAACTATTTGTGAGGCCAAACACCTGAAGTTTGAATTCTGGAGGCCTGTTTATGGAGCCATGAATCTGTAAAGAGTAACTAAACTCAAGAATTAGCTCCTTTTCCTCCCTAGTGTTTATTACAGCATATATTCAAGGCTGACCTAGATATGCAGAATCATTACTGGTGTTCAGCAAAGTCTCCTCCTGGATGTAGTGTGATCTAAGTACAGTTATATTTATTGATTAAAGTTTTCACACCCTGTGGGCTGTACTAGTTTACACTGAGTTAGAGTGCCAATTTAGACTAAGCACCATTATATTTAACCCTCCCAAGTATATCTGAGCAAATAAAATGCTAAAATAAAGGATTGTTCCTGATACTGCCGGAGTGGAAGATGAGCCTGAGCTTATGGATCTTCCTTTATCCGCCTTCCTGTGCCTTGTACCCACTGAAAAGCCTCTCCAGAGGGGAGGGAACCTACTGCACTTCAGATTGTGTCCCACAGGGCTGCCTTGGGAGGAGAGTTCCCTCAAACCTGGGAACTGTTTCAGGCAATTTTATGCAGGATACTCTTGCCTGCTAAAATGCAATTCTGGTATTGCTACTTCTGGAGTTGGCTAACAGTTTGGTTTGGTGTGGCCTATGGGGCATTTCCATGCATTTGATAAATGCACATCCTGTTTTTTAGAGGATTTCTCTAACCTTGGTTCTGAAAACTGTATGGGATTCTGACAGTCCTGAATTCCTTACCTTCTGCTTATGTATGTGTTACTTTTGCAATTATAATTTGCACAGCCAGCCTAGGGATTAGGAAGAATTATAACTCTCGACAGCTCCTGATTCCCATCTATGCTGATTCTTGTGCCTTGATTGAGTGTACTGCCCTCTTGAAAACAGGAGAGATGGAGCCCGTGAAACTGCTAGGGCTAAGTAAAATGCATGGCGGTGGATGAGAGAGACTTCCTGGCCATAGCAATACTTTTGGATTGGGATTGCCTGAGTAGTGCAGTGAGCTGATTGGCCAGAGAATGGGATAGACCAGGAGTAGGGCAGCCTAAGGCCCAGGGGCCGGATGTGGCCCAATTGCTTTCTCAATCCGGCCTGCGGACGGTCTGGGAATCAGCGTGTTTTTACATGAGTAGAATGTGTCCTTTTATTTAAAATGCATCTCTGGGTTGTTTGTGGGCCTGCCTGGTGTTTTTACATGAGTAGAATGTGTGCTTTTATTTAAAATGCATCTCTGGGTTATTTGTGGGGCATAGGAATTCGTTCATCCCCCCGCCCCCCAAAAAAATAGTCCAACCCACCACATGGTCTGAGGGACGGTGGACCATCCTACAGCTGAAAAAGGTTGCTGACCCCTGGGATAGACCCCTGGGTGACATTTCTTTTAAAGTTGAAATAGAAGGATATGATTGGGGCTGTGGGGCAGTGGGACAGAAATAATGTGGCCTTGAGATTCTGGAGGAAACGGTGTGAAGCTTTCTATGTAATGAACCTTAGCAGAGAAATATGCAAGCACCAATCAGAATGCATTTAGATGCATTAGCCCATTGGCCTGCATGGTACCAATCACTTCTTAAGAGGCTCTCTCTATGGAACTGAATATACTCAGTGGGTTACCACCTCTCAAGTGGCAATGGTGAAATTTTTATTTTTAAAATAGCCGTGTGTTTCCAGTTACTGCATAGCCCTAACGGGTTTGAGCATATGACTGGGACACAGGGATGTGATGATTTTCATTCCTTTCGCAAGCAAGCAAGCTTATTATTGACAACAATTGGATCCCATCTCTCAAGGGCAAAAAAAAAAAAAAAAATGCCTTTGTTTTCACAGTGATGGCACACAAGTCTTCCAAACTCTCCATCAGAAAGACTGGAAAGAAAACTGCAATACTCGTTGCCAGTGTTATGGACCACATGTGCCGTTTTAATTACAGTCACGATGAGATGAGATGGTGCCATGGGAGTTCATTTAATTTTTTTAAAAAGCAGTGACAAAAAGTATATTAAAGATCTGATGTGGGCTATATGATGGCTGAGTGCCGGAGGTGCTGTTTTTAGGAGACTTTGATCTCGTGTCAGTAAAAAGCAAACAAACTTCAGATTCAAAGGACTGGACAGGAATACTAATTGTAGACTGGCTGGTCCAGTTGTGTTTTGTTTTGTTGATTCAGATTTTCATGCTACCCCATCACATCTGTCTCACACTGGGTGTTATTGAAAGAAGTACATGTTGGCTTGGCTACAAATGGCTATCCAAAGAGAATGGTTTTGCATTGCCTATATTTTTGGATCAGCCGTCACAAATACCTTTTTGCTAGGCCAGAACCACCTCAAGATGTTTTGCTGCCATTGATCCACCACTGGCCTGCAGCTTTTGGTAGGATTCCAGTGTGGGAATGTGGCTCTCGAGTTGACAAAGATTCCCCTATCTGGACCACATAGAATGGATGGAATACCTCTTTTGAATTTGGTCAGCCACAACACCATTGGAAGCATAGGAGGTGCCATGTTTCTTTCCCCTGAACACGTTTGGAGGACAATTTAGGTTCACTCTGAATGCGGTAGACCATGAAGAAAAAGTCCATAGAAAGACAAGGTTAGTCACTGTAAAAGTTTTCTTTTTTACAACAAAATTTGATCAAGGCATGAATTACCACCCACAGGTGGCTTGTAAATTGTCATGAGATCACTGTTATGCATTCATTTCTAGCTTTGATCCCTTCAAAATATTATAGTTGTAGGGCAAAAATTGCCTGGGAGTCGTTGCTTAAGATTATATCATGTTTCCATCTGAAAATTTAATCAGGAGTGAGACGACAATTCAGATATTAACTCTGTTTACCTGGTGAGGTGTTTGATTTCCCTCCTCTTTCCCCTCCTTCTCTGAAAATCCCAGGGCACAGGGTGATTTGCTTTTGAAAATTAACACAATTTTAAAAGACCATCTCACCCCTTATATGCTCAACTAATCACTGAGCCTCTTGCAGATACCATCTCATCAGGTAGTTATATGGACCAGACCTTTAGTGTGGTGACAACTACTTTTCCAAACTGTCTCTAGTTACATGTCAGACAGGCACTGTCTCTGTTGCTTTCCTTTTTTCCAGCAAGTCTTCTAAGTGGAATTTTTTTATCTCAATCTGTATCTCTATTAGATTTGAAAATGTTTTTACAGGCAGAGTTGTTGTAATTGTTTGTATATATGGAACTGCTTTTATTGTTGATGTTTTTGCTGTGAAAACGCTTTGGGGTGTGTTTTATAGGAAGCGATTCATAGACAGAATCCAATAAAAAAATGAAAACCACATGTAATGTGATACTTGGTGTGAGGGCTTCAGTTTAAAGACATCCGAAGTCTGCTTGGTCCATGCAAACCTTTGGGTATACAAAGGTTTATAGGTTTGGGGTGCACAATAGACTCAATTACCCTTTTCCTCCCAATATAAGAGAAACGTACATAGCTAAAGGACAGCTTATTCTATGGTATTAACTACTTCATGCATTAATTCAACTTAAGCTTGTTGGTTATATGAGGCTGGTTATCTCACATGAATTGCAGTGAACTGGGAAGTCCATTTCCATGGAAGAGCTCTGTGCATTAGAGCACACTTGAGATTCTGGAGTATAATAAATACAGTATATGGTCCTGGAACCCTAACCTGTGACAGGACCCTGAATCTGTTTCATTTGCTCTGTTACTAGTCTTGGCCCTAATTTACAGCACAATCCCATAGATGTCTTCTCAGAAGTAAGTCTGCATTTAATGAGATTCACTCCCAGATAAAGTGTTTGTTGATTGCAGCTTTAATTTTATGAGTTGCTTTTATTGGATTCGACCAAAGCCTACCCTTGAAAGCTCTCCGGGCACAATTTGTTGGCTCAGAATTTTGTCAGTTCTCTTTGTGTGTTGCAGGCTTCTTGTAGAACCTGCATCGTGTGTTGCTTTTAGAAAGTAACCTACCAAGCAGACTAAGTACTGTAGTTAATGACGGGACCGTTGTCAGATTACCACAGCACTGAAAGAATGCTTAATAAAACAAACCAGAATCTGATATTTAAAAAGCATTTAACAAGAAAGGGAAATACTGTTTATTTTGGAAAGATTTATGGGGATGACATAATATAGGTTTTTTTCTTCTTCTTATCTCCTCACCTGTTTTTCCTCAGGGTGACTATCAATTTTTATTAGCTTTCTAGAGCCAGAAAGATGAAAAATGATGGACAAATTTTAAAATAGGATAAAAATGCTGAAAAGATATGAAAGATATCTTGGGGAAAATCCTCTTCATGTAATACCTGTTGAAGTTGAATTGAAAGAGGGAGGAACTTCATGAGAGACAGACGATCTGATAATAATAATTTTTTGTGGAATTGGAATCCTTTGTAACAGAAGAATGTGCAAGGTTAGACAGATATTGTCCTACACTGGTCCCATCTAGAAGGACATCCTTTGAACTCCCTAGGTGTGCTTTACTTTAATTCCTTAAGTAATTCAAAAAGGGGTGTCATTAAAAAAACCACAACCCAATAAAACTGTTTTTGCAGACATAAATACAAAAGCATAGCTCTGAACTTTTCATCATCATACTCTTAATTTTACACTCAAGATCACTTACCTGGGATTAATTACTATTTAACACCCTTTAACCTCCCCATAGAGGCACGCGGGTGGCACTGTGGTCTAAACCACTGAGCCTCTTGAGGTTGCCGATCAGAAGGTCGGTGGTTTGAATCCCCGCAATGGGGTGAGCTCCCGTTTCTCAGTCCCAGCTCCTGCCAACCTAGCAGTTCGAAAGCACGCCAAAAAAGTGCAAGTAGATAAATAGGTACCACTCCAGTGGGAAGGTAAATGGCGTTTCCGGGTGCTGCTCTGGTTTCGGTGTGCCAGAAGTGGCTTAGTCATGCTGGCCACATGACCCGGAAAAACTGTCTGCTGACAAATGCCGGCTCCCTCGGTCGGTAAAGCGAGATGAGCGCTGCAACCCCAGAGTCGGCAGCAACTGGTTTAACTGTCAGGGGTCCTTTACCTTTACCTCTTTTTTTAACCTCCCCATATGTACTCAAAATCTGGGTGGGCACGGCTAAAGAGTAGGTTTTCTATTCATTCAATGTTTCTGAGGGAAGTTGGCCTTCAAATCTGTGCTTGTGCTTGTCATTTATATAGTAAGTGAGCATGCCTGAAATGCTTAATGTATATTATATCAGAATCCTTGCAGCAGCCTTGTAAGGAACAGGCATGTGGTAGTATTGCTGCAGATAGCAGGATCGGCCCATGAAATCTTGCTGCCTGAGGGGGAACAGAAAATGCTCCCTTTCCAGATCGAGGTGCATAGCATGAAAGGCCGCCCGGGCTATTTTGGCACCCTCAGCACAAAATTCCATAAATGTTTCTTGTGGGATTAAAAATACAATAAGAATAAATCAAAAAGTAACAATTCGCTGGCCTTCCACAATACCCAAAGTCAGCTGCCTTAAGGTAGTTGCCTCACGTTACCTCAGCCTTCACCAAACTCCGTATGTTGTTAAACTGCATCTCCCATCAGCCCCAGCCAGCCAGCAGTCACAACATCTGGAGAGCGTCAGGTTGAGGAAGGCTGCCTATTGGTAGGCCTGCATGGTTGAGGAGTATGATTTCATGGCAGATGTTCATGGCAGAAGTCTGAATTGGAGGCTGTTCTGATTTATTTATTTATTTCTAAAATTACGATTTGCATGCAACCTTTTAAGAGTAACAACCCTGTCCAGTTTATAGATCAGCCTCATGTATCCTAATCCTATGCATGTCTACTCAGAAGTAAGTCCCAGTGAGTTCAGTGGAACTTACTCCCAGGTTAATACGGCTAGGATCTCAGATTTAGCTATTACATTACAGCAGTTCATCCTGTGTCCTGCAAGGCAGAACACTCATGTCTCAACAAATGAAACTGACCTGTTGAAAATGTAACTTGAAAAAGAGACATTGCACATACTTTTGTAAACCAAGAAATCTTTAATAAAAATACATTAAAAGTAACAGAGATAAAGAAAGCTCACCTGAACACTCACAAAGTCATGGAGATAAATGTTCAAAATTAGTGGCACCTTTGAACTAATGGCTCACTTTGGTATTTCTATGAATAAAAGAAAAATACATTTTTGTTTCTGCTGATGTTTCTCATAATTGTTTTTGCTTGCCCTAACCATATTGATACTGCCTGCTTTGCTTTCTGAGTCAAAGCTGAAACAACAAACGTATATCTAGTACTGACATAGGAACATTTGTCTGCGGTATTAGCTCCGCTCTAGAAAATTGCAGACCATAACTGAAGAGGCAAGAATACAAATTTTGCAGCGTGAGCCAGTTATACAAATAAGCACACTGTATTTTCCGCTGATAGAAACACAGACATCAGAGAGTCCCAATTGTATGTTGACGTAATGTGAGGGAGGTCTGTTTGTTTGGATAGCGGACTGAATTCCCTTTAAAATAAAAGAGAAATATTTTTCAAATGAAAACAGTTGGATATTTAGGGGAGAGGCAACAAAAAATTCACTAGTGCCAATGAATCTGATGCTGGACATGAAAGTCCATGCCAGCAGTTATCTATGTCTGTTTTTTCACTATGGAAAAACCATCTACTCAGATGTGCACATCTACTCAGATGTAAATTCGACCAAGTTCAATAGAACTTACGGTCGGCAAGTTTGGACAGAGTTGTTGCTTTAATCATTCAAAGTCAATTTCTTATTTTTATATGGACGTCTGTCATATAGTTTCTCCCCAAATTTCAGGTTTTCAAAGTGTTTTGATTTTTTTAATTAAAAAAATGAGTTGAAAAGGTAGGGAATATTATTAGGAATATTGAATGATGAACAATGAAAGGAAATCCTTTAAGTATGTTCAGAATGCCTTTCTTTTGCAACAGAGTAGTCATGAGCTACTTCCTTACATTTGGAGACCTGGGTCTGGAGAAGAGCCTTATTGTTGGAAGGCGGGATCCTATTAACCAGCATGCTTTGCTTTAGAAATGAAGCATTTGCCAAAGAGCCCGTCTGTTTCTTCCAGTCTTTCCCAGACACTACTAGTGTTGTTGCTGTCTTCCAGGTCAGTTGTCAGAAAATCAAAGGGAAAATGTTGGGCCTTGCCTCTCACCCTCACTTAACCGTCTTGAAAGCTATGTAGGTCAGACAGCTTTTGCACGGGACTCAACTAGGTGCTCATACCAGAAGAAGCTCCATGGTGCCAAACATTCTCGTTTTAAATTATTTTACGTTTATTTTAAGCAAATTAAGACGCCTCACAACACAAATTGGGGGAAACTAAGTCTTTGGGGGTTGCTTAAGTGAAAGTTGATTCACACAGTGCCAAACTATGCTTGTGCTGTACTCAACACAAAGGGATGTAAGGCTACTAGATAGGGATCAGGTTTTTCAGTAGTGACGTGCCTTCTAACACAGGCAGTACAGCTGCTGCTTTGCCAAGTGGGGTGGGTGGGGGCAGCAGTGAGGTTGGGGCCACAAAGCAACTTTGGAAGGGACTGTGCCTAGTACACTCTTGGATCTCAATATGGGTCTAGTAGCTTAATGGGAGACGTGCCCAGCAGTACATGCAATGGGGTGTGGGACAACTGGCTGCTTTTTCTTCCTGTCACATCCCTGGCTGCTCATCATGGTGACACCAGCCATTCTAGAAGGGAAAATGGTGGAAAGGACTGGGACAGGGGAGTTGCAGTGCCAATAGGACAGTTTGTGGCTTCCTCACATCTTTCCCCCTCTTCTACCTAGAGTTCCTTAGCTGTCGTCTTTGGAACAGAGGTCTTTGCTCCATGATGATGTGGAAAGGCTGGGTCATAGGCTGTGTGGGCCCAACAGGTGAGACCCAGGCAGCAACAGTGAGCAGATCTAAAAAGGTTATCTTGCAACGCATTGCAGAACTGGGAAGTTAGGGCCTATTGCATTCTGAAGGTGTAAGGAAGCGAGTAAAATGTTACCAAATCTTTTTCAATAAAAGCACCAGTACAATTCAAACAAGGGATGCGGGTGGCACTGTGGGCTAAACCACAGAGCCTAGGACTTGCCGATCAGAAGGTGGGCGGTTCAAATCCCCACGACGGGGTGAGCTCCCATTGCTCGGTCCCTGCTCCTGCCAACCTAGCAGTTCGAAAGCACGTCAAAGTGCAAGTAGATAAATAGGTACCACTCCGGCGGGAAGGTAAACGGCATTTCTGTGTGCTGCTCTGGTTTGCCAGAAGCGGCTTAGTCATGCTGGCCACATGACCCGGTAGCGGTACACCGGCTCCCTCGGCCAATAAAGCGAGATGAGCATCGCAACCCCAGAGTCGGCCACGACTGGACCTAATGGTCAGGGGTCCCTTTACCTTTATAATTGAAACATTTGTTTGGGTTGGGGAGTGTTCATTGGTTAGGGTTTATAGATCTAGATAAATGTGGAGAGGCTTTGAAACTCCCCCCATTTACAATGGTATGCCCCATTTCCAGTTGACCCTAGCTGCTTGGAGACTAGAACAGATTGGAAAAGGGGTTCATCATTCATCACTGCCACCGCCAGCCTTCAGTTTCCCCCCTCATTGCCAGTAAAAATGCTTTACCTTTGCAAAGGGGGAGCTCATATGCAGGTGCTTCTATTAAAATGGGCACTCCTGAGCATTCTCAGGAATATCAGTTCCTCCTGCAATCATGGAGCTTGTCGCTCTGAAGGAAGTGATATCAATGCTTGGGCGTATCGTTTTCAACTGAGAATCAGACAGGTGCCTCTCTGTGAGCCCCTCCTGGCACCAGTTACCCCCCTCCCCATTTGAAAAGGCATTTTGTTGTTGAAGGGGGAAACAACCAGGGGAGGTGGGGCTGTACTGAAACCGTTTGGAGTTTTCAAATCTTTCTTTTCTGAATGTTCAAAAGGTGGAGGGTTTTTTTGGCGAAATAGTCTTTGACCTTAAGGCTTATCTCTCTCCCTCCCAACCCACATCAATTCCCACACACCACTAGATATACAGTGGTACCTTGGTTGTCAAACTTAATCTGGTCCCAGAGTCCGTTCAACTCCCAGAACCATTTGAAAACCAAGGCGCGGCTTCCGATTGGCTGCAGGAGCTTCCTGCACTCAATCGGAAGCCGTGTCGGATGTTCAGCTTCCAAAAAACATTCACAAACCAGAACACTTACTTACGGGTTTGCGGCGTTTGGGAGCCGATCTGTTTGAGAGCCAAGCCATTTGAGAACCAAGGTACTACTGTAATTTTATTTATTTCAATTATTTTTATCATTCTTCATTAAAATCTCAAAGTGGTGTAAAATGTCAGAAATGAAATTCCAGTGGAACCAGCACATATGCAAAAGTAATTGTGAAAAGGAAGAACAAACTGGTATTAACTGGCAGCATAGGCAGTTGGGCAAATAAAAATGGTGGAAATCTTGGCGCCTGCCACAACTCGGAGGGGAGCTTGTTCCCTAGAAAAGGCTCTCAAACAGATAAAGCTCCCACCTTGCAAGATGGTGGCAGGACAAGGAGGGAGTCTCTCACTGATCTTCAGTGACTAACAAGAAAGTGGGGGAAAGTGCTCCCTAAGATTCTTTAAGGCTGTGGAACAATGTCCTCCAAAGAAATCTCCCAACCTTTCAAAGTGAACCAGGGGGTGGTGGTTTGTGAATACAACTGGTGCAACTCGCTGAAAATCTCCTGTGTAAATGTGGTACATTGTACAGGGTGCTTTTGATTTCAAGCTTGTGCATGTGAGTGGGGCTGAGGAAAAGACATGGCACATTCAGGGAATTGGCGGAACTGGCAGCCTTCTCTGTGGCACAGAGTTTTTAATGAATGTTCAAGAGGCGCGTACAGTGCCACTGAGATTTCAGTCTCAGAAGGGAGGGCCATCCCATCATTAAGACAGTTGCAATATAATGAAAGTAATAATCCAAAGGCAATCTTTGAGTGGTCCTTCCTCTTAATGCCTGTCCTGCCAATATTAAGAATTTCCCCGTAGTGCAGCTTGATAGCTTAGCTACACTGTTGTCTTAGTTCCTCCCTTCACGGGGAGCAAAACAAGACTTTCAAAGTGTACAGTTAGAAACCGGTGAACTGTGCAGAAGAACACGGGAATGAAAACAGGGACTTGGTTCCCCCAAGACCCCAACAGCTGGGGCAATTTGCTTCTCTTGATTGTGTGACCTGATTTTTCTTCTGCAAACTACACACGGCCCAGACTTTTAACAAGGACTGGGGGGGGGGGGGAGAAGAGGGCTAGTCTTAAATCTACACATAATTGCATGGCAGGAGTCTCTCTCGAATGTAAATGTCTGTGAAATTATTAAGCAGCAGAAATCTGTTACAAACCCTTGAACTCTCTTTGTTGTTTAAATGACCACCTACAGAACCACTCAGAGAGGCACAGCAGCAGTACAGTGGCCTCTTTTATGTGAAAAGCTGTGTGTGCTGAGAAATTTCTTTCAAGAATTCTGAAACCAGAGCTGATTCCGTCCGTACAATAGAGGACACTAATTATAGACCTTGAAGATGTCTAGGCTGCAGAGTAGGAAAGATAGCCTGGTGGATGGCGATAATCAGGGCTACTGTTGCAGAACCTAAGAACAGTATTTCCTTTCTTCTGTTAACAATACTGGATTGTTAGTTGTTTCCTGTCTGTATGACAGTGTCATTTTATTTTTTTAAAAGCTAATTTAGGACACCTATGTAATGTGGCTATTGGTGTAAAGAGTCGAAATATCCCTTTCCCGTGTATAAAATGGCAGTCTGGTGACGGCACCATTGCACTCCATGTGGGCTCCAGGATTGTTTGCTGGAGCAAAGGCTCATTTAAAAGGGGGGATTTCATGTGCCAGCTGTCGGACAAAACACTGTGCAAGGAGAGGGTTAAAAGCGACTAATTATTCCAGCTCTGGAGGGTTAACTGTATTGTCCCTTTATTTTCCTATGTAGTCCCATGGGAATTTTTTTGGTATCTCAGATGTGGATCCTGGGTAGTT